TGAAGTGGCAGGATACAAGATCAACTCAAAAAAAAAAAATAAGTAGCCCTCCTATACACAAAGTATCAAGAAGCTGAGAGGGAAATCAGAGAAACATCACCTTTCACAATAGCCACAAATCACATAAAATATCTTGGGGTAACATTAACAAAGGATGTGAAAGACCTATTTGACAAGAACTTTATGTCTTTGAAGAAAGAAATTGAAGAAGATACCAGAAAATGGAAAGATCTTCCATGCTCTTGGATAGGAAGGATCAAAATAGTAATAATGGCAATCTTACCGAAGGCAATCTATAGATTCAATGCAATCCCCACCAAAATCCCAACAATTCACAGACCTTGAAAGAACAATACTCAACTTCATATGGAAAAACAAGAAACCCAGGATAGCCAAAACAATCCTGTATAATAAAGGAACTGCCAGAGGCATTACCATCCCTGGCATCAAGCACTATTACAGAGCTACAGTAATGAAAACAGCTTGGTATTGGCATAAAAATAGAGACGTTGACCAATGGAATTGAATTGAAGATCCAGATATTAATTTACACACCTATGAACACCTGATTTTTGGCAAAGAAACAAAGAAGATACAATGGAAAAAAAGAAAGCATTTTCAACAAATGGTGCTGACTGGATGTCAATGTATAGAAGAATGAAAATAGATCCATATCTGTCACCATGCTCAAAACTCAAGTCAAAGGGATTAAAGATCTCTATATAAATCTGACCACACTGAACCTGATAAAGGAGAAAGTGGGAAGTAACCTTCAATGCATGGGCACAGGAGACCACTTCCTAAATATAATCCCAGTAGCACAGACAATAAGAGCATCAATAAATAAATGGGACCTCCTGAAACTGAGAAGCTTCTGTAAAGCAAAGGACACAGTCAAAAGATAAAAAGGCAGCCTACTGAGTGGAAAAAAATCTTCACCAACCCCACATCAGACAAAGGACTGATATCCAAAATGTATAAAGAATTCAAGAAATTAGACATTAAAATTCTAAATAACCCAATTAAAAAGTGGTATCTTGAACTAAATAGAGAATTCTCATCAGAAGAAATTCAAATGGCCAAAAGATACTTAAGAACATGTTTGTCGTCCTTAGCTATCAGATAAGTGCAAATCAAAACAACTTTGAGATACCATCTTACACCTGTCAGAAAGGCTAAGATCAAAACCACTAATGATAGCTTATTCTGGAGAGGTCGTGGAGCAAGGGGAACACTCATCCATTGCTGGTGGGAATGCAATCTTCTGCAACCAGTTTGGAAATCAGTGTGGCAGATTCTCAGAAAACTGGGAATTAACCTACCTCAGGATCCAGCAGTACCACTCTTGGGAACAGATGGGAACAGAGGCAATGACCTACATTGGCGCACTGGACTGAGCTCCTAAGATCCAGTTGAAGAGTGGAAGGAGTGAGAGTATGAGTAAGGAATTCAAGACCCTGAGGGTGTCATCCATTTAAACAATTTGCTTGAGCTTATGATAGCTCACCAACTCCAACCGTACTGGGAGTGAATGAGCATGGGAACAACCAAGCCCCTCTGAAGGGGGTTGACAGTTGGGGCAGACTGAGGGGCCACTGATAGTGACACTGAGATGTGTCTCTACTGCATGTATTGGCTTCATGGGATCCTATTCTCTTTGGATGTAAACCTTGCTTCAACCTAGATGTAGTAGGGAGGATCTTGGACTTTCCTTAGGGTTGGAGGGGATGGGGTGGGAGGGTCTGTGGAGGGAGATAGAGGGGACTGGGAGGAGAAGAGGAAGTGGTAATTTGGATTGGTATATTTTAGGTAATAATAAAAAAGAAAAAAAACGCTTAATAGGTGAAAGCAAAGCAAGCTGGACTAGGTAGGAGACCTTCAGGGCTGTAGACCGTTAGAGTCTTTTAGACCAGTCCTCCGGTAAGTATGGAGTTCAGATTCACATGGGACAGCAGATGAAGATGAACTCTAAAAAGAAATCCCACACTAGCTCAGAATTTAGTATAATAAAGGATTATTTATTTAAAGGTAGACACACAGATCAAAATCCTCTGCATGAACAGGAAACAGGAAGAGAGAGCGAACACACGCTTTACACCAGCATTTATAGTATAAGAGGCCACAACGAAGTGGGTAGGTAACTTAAAGGTTACTGGCGGTAGGATTTGCTATACCTTCATAAAATGTTTTATACTTCCTCAGACCCTAAAAGATATCAAAAAATATTCTGTATAGAGTCCCTATAAATAGGGTGAATGTGATGAAGACTTTGGAATCACTCAGACTTTCATTGCTTTATTCTGCTAAACCATTGGTCAAAACTACATTATTCATTAACCAATAAAAACAACAAACATACAGAAGAACATCCCATACCACTTTGTTCATTATTATCAGTAATTGGAAATAACTAAGATATCCTTTATTAGTAGAATGAAACAACAAAATGTGGTCCCTGTTATGGAATACTCTTTTCATACTTTGTAAAGATGTGTCATTCTGATTGGTTTAATAAAAAGTGGAATGGGCAATAGCTAGGCAGGATTTTTCAGGCACAGGATACTGGGAAGGAGAAGGGGAGAGATGTCGGACAGAGAGGGAGGAAGCAGCATGGGCAGTACAGAATAAAGGTTGTAAAGCTACCAGTCAAAAATAGATTGATAAAAATAGGTTAATACAGGTTGTAAGAGCTAGTTAGCAGCAAACCTAAGCTATTGGCCCTTGTTTTATAATTAATAAGTATTTCTGTCATTTATTTGCGAGCTGTCTGACAGGACAGCGATAAACCATATACAGGTATATTTACACAGAGTGTATTACCCAGCTATTTTTAAAATGGCTTCATGCAGATTGTAGGCATATTAATGGAACTAGAAAAAAAAGCATCCTGAGAGAAAAACCTATAGAAAGACAAATATGGTATGTATTCACTTAGAAGTGCATGTTATCCATTAAATAAATGATAACAAAGCTTCAACCTACAGATGCAGAGAGGAGTCGTCTGTGGGGATGCATTAAACTGCCTGGGAAGGGGAAATAAAATAGATTTTCCAGATGGGCTGAGGACTGGTGGGGACCAAAACAAGAGGGGTCAGGTGTGAGGGGCAGGGAGAGAAAGCTAGAATTGAGGAGCATTTTGGTTGAGGATGTGGAAACCTAGTACAGTGACAACTTACTAGAACTGTGAAGGAGTCCTGTTGAGGATTCCTAATCATGAGCCGTAGGAGATCCCAATTGATCATCTGTTGTACAAGGAAATGATTAAATTGAAGGGACTTGGTAACATTCAATTCACTTTTTTCCAAATGGATTCCATGGAAATTCGCAAAACATCCTAGGCTGATGCTAAGACAAAAGATTTCTCTCTGTAAACTGAGAGTAGAGCTCCATTACTGATGTCATCCACACATTTAATCAGACATGGAAAACTGAGCACCTTCCTACGTTGAGCCTTTACCTCTCTGTTCTAGTCTCTTTGGTAGAGGAAGGGAATCTGTGGGGGTAAAAAGGAGAAATAAGAACATAAAAGTTCAAGGATGAAGACTGTTTAACCCCAAGTTGGGGGTCTACCATCACCTTCACCATACTCAACAACTGAACCTTGGAGAGGAAGATTTTTCAAAAACCTTCCAAAGCCCTGCCTACAGAGACAGGACTCAGGCTCCTAAGGTGCCTCAGCTCAGCAGAGGGTCCCTCCGTCTGCCCTGCTGTGTTTGTGTTTCCTCAGCCCTAATAAAAACCCTTCTTTTCCTGTGGATTCTCCCCTCTGGTGTGGTGTTTTCTCCTGATGCTACATGTTGCAGTTGAGCTTTTCCTTTGAATTCTTCATCTGTCAGAGAAACAACAGCAAACCAGAAGAGATCAAAACTCCCCGATGGTAACCTTGCAACAGCAGAATGTGTTCTTCATATTCCAGCCCCACAAGATTTTGTTTAGTTCTGTTGTGTTGCTGAATTTAGTGTTGTGCTCTAAAACCAAGGTCCTGCTGACTTCATGGAATCCGACACATCACCCAGCTACCTCCTATTCCTTTTTGTTCTTTCCATTTCAATAAAAGGCTTGCTTTTCTCTTTGTCCCTCCCTCCCTCCCTCCCTTCCTCCCTCCCTCCCTCCCTCCCTCCCTTCTTTCTTTCTTTTTCCTTCCTCCTTTTTTGACCTAGTCCTCTGCTCATAAGAGGCATCTACCAGGTGGCTTTTCTGTTTTCTTTTATTTCGTTTTTCTTCTTTCTATTTTTTTTTTGACACAGGGTTTTCTGGGTTGCCTTGGTGGTCCTAGAATTCATGCTGTAGACCACGCTGCCCTTGAACTCAAAAGATCCACCTTTCTGCATAAATGAACAGTGCACACACCACCATCTCACAGAATATCCAAGCCTTTCTTAAATTGCCCAGAACAGCTTTGACCTCACTCTGTAGATCAGGCAGCCTTGGAGCTGTGATCCATGGGCCTCTGCTCTTAAGAGGCAGACACCAAGTGGCTGCCACCACGCTTCTGCTCAGAATTAATTTCAAAAGCTTAGCAGTGACTTTCCCATGTGAGATACTTGTAATTATCTTACAGAAAAAAGAGTAGAAATGAATATTTTACTCTATAGTGTCTATAATAAGAGTATCTTTGTGTGAAATCACAGTAACGTGACCAAAAATAACTAATATATGTAATAAGCATTACTGTAAGGTCTCCACTCACACCTAACCATCTTAGTTTGCAAGCTGAGGATTTTAATGCAGCCTGATTCGCGGCGTGTGTCCCTCTAGCGGCAGAAATTGCACATTTCAATCCAGCCTCTACCGGAAACTCAGTTGCATAGACTTATGGGAAATGTAGTCCAATTCATTGTGACCTCACAAGCAAGGATCGCCCAGTCGCCTTCTGAGTTCCTTCTACGCATGTTCCAACCTCATTCGCTTACCTCCAATTCAGAGTGAAGTTTCTTACTACCCTGCTGCGGTTGGATCTCTGTCCGCAGGTTGGTTCGGGGTGCAGGGCAGCCCAGCAGGTCTGAGGGATCGTGCAGGGGAGCCGGTAGGTCCATCGTGGAAGGAGTGGACACGGGGCCATGGGAAGCAGGAAGAAGCTCACTTTGGAGGTGCTGTTCGAACCTAGGCTGCTCCACGGGGTCAGGATTTAGGTCCGCGCTAGGGACAGGGCGATGGGGTCGGTGCTGGGTCCCCTGCCACTCCAGTCCTCCCGGGATCTCGCTCCCGGACAGGGCGGGTCGGCTGGCTGCCGGCCCCTGGGGCTGTGCCGGGAGCTCACTGTCCTGCTCCGGGGAAGCCTGCTGCCACCAGCGGACTCTGAGTGGCTGTAAGGATTCTCATCGGTCTAGAGAAGAAAGTGCAGTTTCTGGTCCCTACTGCACTGTAGTTAGTATTTGGTTATAATGAGAGACCTAGCAAAGACGTGTGTAGTGTTATTTGACAAAGTCAAGTTCCAGATAGGACACGACGGTTATTTTACTGGAGCTCCCAAACCTTTGTGCTGTGTCCTGTAGCTGACTAGTCAGGGAGAGGCGCTATCCATGCCACTAGTGAATTTTATCACAGATCCCTGCAAAACTGACCGCAGAGAAGGTTCAGTACATAGACGTACGTAGTTTCAGACATCAAGCTGACGTCTCTTTATTACTAGTTCTGCACTAGAAGCTTGGAATAGAATAATGCCTTTATACTATAGAAAATGATTTTTTTCTTAGAGGGTTGGTGTCTGTGAGCCTTTTTTAATCACCTCCCTTGCCATAGTCTGTTCACTTATAAGTCTTTAATATTTTGTACAATTTCAATTTGGATCTCAGGCATTCTCTCCTATTAGGTAACAGGATACATAGAAGTTGTGAAAAAAAAATCCATAGAAAATTCTGAAGCAGGAATAATTTTTCCAAGTAAACATTCAAGTATATATGCAGCTGATATTGTAAATGATAAAAAATGTGAACAGTCTCAATGCATAACTATTCCGTGGAGGAAAAATTAACTGGAAAGCATTCATTTTTCACTACATTTTAAAGGTAGTCTGAGGGAACCGTTTCTCGGGCTGTTCCAAATTTTTTATAGGTGAAAATGTGAAGATATTATAACTTCTAATACTTGTAATTTCTCTTTAGCCTTTTTGGCCTCTAAGAAAATTTATAAAACATTCCATTAACTTTGCATTTCTTAAGCATCTTATTGCCCAGAGGAAATACTTTTAAATATTTTATAAATTTCTTTTTCTCCTTATTAGTTTTTTAAATTCCATCTTAAGTCTGATTACATTGTTATTTTAAATTTTTGTGTCATATAAGTATATTAATATTATATTTTAGTTATTAAAGGCATGTTATTTATTTACTTTGTTAATGCTGCTTTTAAACTGATAATTCTACAGTTTTCTGTCAACATCAGAGATCAGAGAAGGATAAATTAGAACAGGCACTATAATCCAGATTACCTCTGTGTTAATTATTACATATTTTTGATGTCATATTCAATATTTCTCTATTGATTTTGAGGACGATCTATTAAGTATGCCTGATTTTAAACAAACTTTCTTTGTAGTTGCTTACTTGTCTATATGAAAACATATATAGAAGACTACATGTTGTTCTCGGAAATGAATTACATTTGTGCTGAGCTTGACTATAAACATAGTTTTAAGCACATGGAAGAATTGACTTTTTTATAAGGTGACTGACCATCTACTTGTATGTTTTAATTATCTTTCACAGTTTACAATCAATTAGTAACTTCTATGAGATGAGCATTTCACAGTTTTATCCCTGTTAAACTTGAGCCTTAAATTTTGAATTGAAGATCTCTTAGCATTATAGTAAAACTTTAAACTATAAATATAGTTTGTAAAGACAAAGATACTACTCATATATCTTTAAGTTGGTTTCTGCTAGCCTGAGTATACATAAGGAATATAAACATTACTTATATATATGATGTTTTTTATTTTAAAAGTTTTAGAGGTCTAGTGTTAACAAAAATAAATGGTTAAACGTACACTTAACAAAGACATGAATTGTTAGACATACATCTTTCAGTCAGGTTTTTCTTAGTTTGAATATATCATTATAAGCTTCTGAATTTAATGGTATATAAAAATCCATCCCAATATAAAATACCATTGATACCTGCTTTTTACTACAAAGCTTAGTCTATAAGGAAAATACAATAATTCATAAAAAGGACACTTGTACTTGTAAGTTGCATAGGTGCTGCCTTAGTTGGTTTTATATATTATGGTCATCTTAATCTAAGTGATGGTGAAGTCACATGGCATGTGTTCTTCAGTCTTTCTAAAAATGGATGCTAACTACATGGTGGTTTTTATCCTGATGAGGTCATTAGTCAAGATGGAGGAAAATCATGTGGCTACTATTTAAAACCTTCTGGGTTTTTTTTTTGCAGTGTTATATAATAAACCTATTTTCCTAAACAAGAGTTGAATCATATATATTGTATACTGCAGTAGATTAAAATTTCCTGTTTGTAGATTTAACTAGCAGCCAATTTTTATAAGCTTTAAGCTAAATTTTTGTTACTTTTTTTCAACATACACATTAAATTTATTAATCCTGAGACTAAGAGTTTATAGAGAACAGAGATATTTCTATGCTTCATGTGATAATTTATACATGAGGCTACTCAAAATATTCAGTGGTTGGAAAATACTTCATAAAAGTTGATTAATAATAGCAACTTTAGACAGTTGAGCTGTACAACCCAGGTGTGGGTAAAATATTTTCTGTGGAGTATGTGGAATTTTTATATAAAATGTAGGACCTCTTGTCCTTGAAAAGTCATTTATAAAAGCATTAAAAGTATTCTCTATAAAAGTTTTAGATGTAATTTTAGGCAAAATGTACGGAGGATGTTTTAAAAATCTTAGAAAGGTATCCTTTGGATAATGATTGTCTTACTTAGGGATTCTGTGCTGTGAATAGACTCCATGGCCATGGCAGTTCTTTCAAAGGAAACATTTAATTGGGGTGAGCTTATGGTTCAGAAGTTTTAGTCCATTATCATCATGGTGGGTGGCATGCAGGCAAATGTGGTGCTGGAGAAGGAGCTGAGAGTTCTACATCTTGATCCTTAGGCACCCAAGTATTGGGTTTGGCTTGAACATGTGAGACCTCAAATCCTGACTCCACAGTGACACACTAACAATGTCAAACCTCTTAGTAATGCCATTTCCCATGAGCCAAGCACTCAAGCATAAGAATCCATGGGGGCCATACCTGCTCAAACCACCATAGTGATTATCTATAGATCCTGAGTAAGATGATACTGCAACCTCCCAATTATTAGTACAAAACAAATATCCATCCTGCATTTTATTTAGTGGTGTGATAATCACTGAGGTTCTTTACCAATAAGGGATTAAATCTATGAGCTAGCCAACAACATTACTTAACCAGCTAATAACCTGTTCTGTTTCAGGTGTTATATTTCTTAGTCGTAGAATTTTCAGAAAGCATCTTAAAGCGCAGAGCCAAATCATTAGTAGTGATTGGCACATTACTGTTTACCCAGTTGAAGTAGCCCAAAATTAGAAATTTTGCTATTTTCATTTACTATGAAATTTAAACATTCATTTAAATACACATTTGACAGACAAGCAGAAGAAGAGAATATTGTCCATATATTGCAGGACTAATAACTCAAGGAATTTGAACAGTGTCAGCTTAAGTGTTTAATGTCCTAATTGTAATGTTTTGGTACTAAAACTTTTTAATTTTTGCCCATTTCAAATTTTCCACATGAACAGACTATTAATCAATCTATATTGAATTATTACCACTATGCGGGAAAAACAGAATAGTAAGAATAAGCAGTTAACACCAACAACAAAGTCTAAGGTCTGGAACAATCAAACTGGCTCATGCTGTAGCAGCAGAGCCCCGGCCCTGTCAACCCTTTCTTAGAACTGGGGTGTTACAGAGGCCATCTCTGCATCCCAGTGGTAGAACAGGCCCACATGGCCAGAGGGCTTTAAATGCCAGTCAAATTGTTCAGAAAGACTAAAGAAATGTGGCATGGAAGACAAGCAGCTGCTTAGTGTGCTGTGACCTACCAAAATGTGAGCAGCCATGAGAATCCTGGCTCCTGAGAATCCACCCCAGGTCCTCTGAAAGAGCAGTCAGTGCTTTTTACTACTAAACCATCTCTCCAGCCTGAACAGTTCTCTTTTGGAGATAACCTCGCTCTCCATTGTATCATTTTTAAAAGTATAATATGCATGGGAGTTCCTAGGATCTTCTGCCATTCACTTTCCTTAGTGATCAGTCCTGTGTAACGTCACAGCGCTGCATCAGACTAATGTTAGGGATAGAGCTCGCCTTTATCAGATGCGCTTCTAGCTCTCGTCTCACTCGGGGTGACCTTTAGATTTATATCCAGAAGTACGTATGCTGTTTGTGTTTTTACTGCTGTTTTAATTTGTAAAGTATTTAGTATTCCTTCTTTTTCTTTGTTTCAGGAAATGCTGTCTTTCAGGGATGTGGCCATTGATTTCTCTGCAGAGGAGTGTGAATGGCTGGGCCCTGATCAGTGGACTTTGTACAGGGATGTGATGTTGGAGAATTTCAGCAACCTTGTGTTCCTGGGTGTGTTGTCCTATTTTTAAATTGTTGCTGCCTTTTAAGCCCTGACTCTCCTAAGCAGGAACTGCAGCTCCAGCGTTATCAGCAGTGGTTGTGCCACAAGAGCCGCAACCTGAGGGAATTGTGTTCGCTCATGCCCCTCATATAAATAAATCTCTGTCCTTCGAAAGAACTCAAGATTCAAAGGTTGAGGTGGTATAATTGTTCTCCTCAGAGAGGCTGAATGACCAGTAGCCCACCTCCTCTCCTCCTCGTGTCTACTAAAATGTCCCCATTCTTCTCACCCTGACCTAAAAACCCTTCTCCACCTGGCTCTTCCATACCACATCCAGTCAGCGAGTTGGTGACTCATCCTCCTGGCTGCAGGTGAATTTTATTTAATCAAACAAATGTAACACATCTTTGCATCATTAAACAAATATTCCAGAGCATGAACAACAGGAACATGCCTTAAAGTAATATTTTACCACATGTGTGGGAAAAACCTCCACGGTGAACTCTTAAATGTCATCATAAAACTTGCTTACTTTCTACAGTATTTCAAGGAAGCTTGTGCTTCCAAAATGAAACTTATGGTGCAAGTTTTAGGGAAAATTTAGGAGAGTATTTCTATACCTTAGAATGATTTACGTTTTCTTGTGTACACGAAACCCTCCCATCCTTTGCAGAGGTGGTAATGTCATAAAGTGGCAAGAGTGGGAAGCACACATGGTAAAAAGACTATCACACTTTGTAATTTTAATATTTTCCTTTGTAACTGAGGGACATGAAGCTCAGGACCTGCAAATCTTAAATTCCTCCTAAGCATTCTGATGTGTCTATCAGGAAGCTCATGAGGAACTTATCCTGTACAGTCCCCTAATTCTATAACCAGTCCTAGAGAGGACGTGTGATCCCCAGGAGAACACACTAATAAGGATGTTCTCTTTTCCCATAAACAGGACTTGCTTCCTCTAAGCCATACCTGGTCACATTTCTGGAGCAAAGACAAGGACCTTCAGACATGAAGAGACTAGGAGCAGCTGCCATGCAAACAGGTGTGTAGGAATGAGGGGCCAGGGGCTAGAATGGATAGGCAAGGATCCCCAGAAAACCAGGCTTCATTATGAACATTGACTCACAGTGTTCTGATGGAAATCATGGTTTAAGGATCTTTTATATTTTTATTGTGGAAAAAGGATGTTTATGATGCATTGATTCTGTTATGGTTTGTCCTTCTCCCATGAGGTCAGCTTCTGACTGTAACTGACTAAGGTCTGTAATTTCTAGGTGAACATGATTTATTTTTTTATAAGTTGGTCAATAGATCTTTATTCATAAAATGTGCGTAAATACTCCTGTCTTCAGTTCTTGAAATATATAATATTGTTATGGGAAGGTTTCTAGTTATGCAGCCTTTCTTTATACCTTCCAAAGTTAAAAGTCTGCATTTAGGATATATATGAACTGTAATAATATGTGTCTTCTGACTCGGACTACTTTATACTTTGTGTTCATTTCGTTATAACATTTCTATATTTCTGTAAGTGGCTCATTTACAATACCATAATCGTTTTGTTTTCTTAATTGTTGATTTTATGCCTTCCTTACATGTTTGACATTGATTAATATTCATTTGTTTCTATGGATTCATCTTTACTTCATGTTATATAACTTCTACCTATCATGATGCTTTTAATTAGGCTCCACTGAATACAGGTTTAGAAATTTGGATGTAACATTATTCAAATTGAAAATATAACTTTGAGTCAACATTTCTGTTTTTAAAACTAAACATGAATTTACACAATTTTGCTCATTTTTCATTCATTTCTTAACCTTAACTCACCAGGAAAAAAACACAATACAGGCAAAGAATGTGGTAAAACTTTTCCTTGGAACTCACCTATTAGCCACCAGAAAATTAATTTAAGAATGAAGCCATATTATAAGTGTGAAGAATGTGGTAAGGCCTTCCATACTCCATCATTACTTTGTTTACACAAGAGAATTCATGCAGGAGAGAAACCCTTCAAATATGGTGTGTGTGGCAAATCATTCAGAAGTCCATCAGTATTTTCTGGACACAAGAAAATTCATATAGGAGAGAAACAAAACAAGTATGAAGTTTTTGACAAGGCCTTCTATGTCCCACCACTGCTTTCTGTAAACAAGAGAATTCATACTGGAGAGAATCCCTACACATGTGAAGTATGTGGCAAGGCCTTCTACAATCCATCACAATGTTCTGAACACAAGCAAATTCATACAGGAGTGAAACTCTACAGTTGTGAAGTGTGTGGAAAGGCCTTCAATCGTCCATCACGACTTTCTTTACACATGAAGATTCATACAGGAGAGAAACCCTACCAGTGTGAAGTATGTGGCAAGGCCTTCTATGTTCCATCACGACTTTCTAAACACAAAAGGATTCATACAGGAGAGAAACCCTATGAGTGTGAAGTGTGTGGCAAGGCCTTCATTTGTTCATCAGTACTGTCAGTACATAAGAGGGTTCATACGGGAGAAAAACTGTACAAGTGTGAAGTATGTAGCAAGGCTTTCCATGCTTCATCACTACTTTCTAAACACAGATTGATTCATACAGGAGAAAAGCCCTACCAGTGTGAAGTATGCGGCAAAGCCTTCACATATCCATCATTACTATCTCTACACAAGAGCTGTCATACAGAAGATAAACCCTACAAGTGTGAAGTATGTGGCAAAGCCTACAATAGACCTTCAACACTCTCTGTACACAAGAGGGTTCACACTGGACAGAAACTCTACCTGTGTGAAGTATGTGGCAAGGCCTTCCATGTTCCATCACAAGTTTCTGTACACAAAAGGATTCATTCAGGGGAGAAACACTACAAGTGTGAAGTGTGTGGAAAATCCTACAATAGTCCATCAGGACTTTATATACACAAGAGGAGCCATACAGGAGAGAAACCCTATAAGTGTGAGACATGTGGCAAAGGCTACAATAGTCCATCTGGAATTTCTGTACACAAGAAGATTCATACTGGACAGAAACCCTGCAAATGTGAAGTATGTGGCAAGGCCTTCTATGTCCCATCACAACTTTCTGAACACAGGAGAATTCATACAGGTGAGAATCCCTACAAATGTGAGGTATGTGGAAAGGCCTTCAATCGGCCATCACGACTTTCTTTACACAAGAGGATTCATTCAGGAGAGAAACCCTTCAAGTGTGAAGTATGTGGCAAATCCTACAGTAGTCCATCAGGACTTTATTCACATAAGAAGATTCATACAGGAGAGAAACCGTAGAATTGGGAAGTTTGTGTCAAGGTTCTATTGCTGGATCATTACTTAAAGTACATGAGAGAATTTATACAGGTGAGAAACCATACAGGTATGTGGCAAGGACGTCTATGTTCCATCATGAGTTTCTGTACACAAGAGCATTCATACAGGAGAGAAACCCTACAAGTGTTAAATATGTGGCAATGTCTTTAAAACTTCATGGATTCTTTCTCATTTACTAATCCATTCTGGAAAGAAACCCTACTGTGAAGAATGTGAAAAAGCCCTGTGTGAAAAGTCATCTTAACTCAGCACAAATTATCTCACACTTGGGAGAAAACTATAAGTGCAAGGAATGTGGCAAAGACTTTAGAACTTTAGAAACACACGTTCTCAACTCCGGGCTTTTCATATTGGAGAGAAACGTTAAGAGTGTGAAGAATGGCAAGGTATTTCATAAGTCTTATGGTCTTAAACAACTTCAAAGAATTCATTTGTGAAAGAAACTCTGAAGAATATGCCAAGATATTTTGTACTTACTAAGAAGTCTTAAACTTCTTAAAACTTAAAACTCTAAAAGATATCAAACTATATTCCAGATAAAAACCCTTCAATTAGGTGAGATATCCTAATGCTAAGTGGAAAATCTGGGAAACAGAGATAGAAAGAAGTAGGTAGTGTGTAGGAGAAACCATGTAAGTTCCAAAAGGAAAAGATGCCAGAATATTGCCATTAAGTCACAGCCTCGTGATGATACATAGATGAATAGAAATGGGCTAATTTAAGATGTAAGAGCTAGCTAGGATTATGAGCCGTTGGCCAAACATGCTGTAATTAGTATAGTTTCTCTGTGATTATTCATGCCTGGGTGTCCGGGAAGTGAAAGCACAGTCTCTGTTTACATACCTAACTCAGGATGAAATAACTCACACTGGGGAAAAGCCTTACAAATATCTAGAATGGCAAACCTCTCAACTGTACCTGAAACCTTAAGGAACATCAAAGAATTCAATCTGGAGAGAAACCCTACAAGTCTAAAGAGTGTGGCAAAGACTTTAGCACTTACACATAACATTCTCAACAGCAGACTATTCTTATTGGAGAGGAAGATTATGACTCTGGAGAATGATAAGGTCTTTCACCAGTCTTCTGGATTTAAACAACATCTAACAAGTCATTTGTGAGAGAAGCCTTGTGAATTGTGTGCCAAGGCATTTTCCACTTTTGAAGAAATTCTGAAACAGCTGTTAATTCATATAGGAGAGAAATGGTACTAGTGTCAAAAAATTTTAAAACTGTTTCATAAGCTTTTAGTGTTCCTCAAGACATGTTCGTTCAAAGTTCAGTGGAATAATGCAAAATTTTAAAATATTCGTAAATTATTTTATACTTCTTTAGATCCTAAATATCAGATATCAAAAAAATAATCTGGATCAAAACCCTACAACTAGGGTGAATGTGATAATGCCTTTGGAGTCATTCAGACCTTATCCAAGACAAAGGAATCCATACTACAAGGAAGCCATATGCTTGTCAAAAATACAGTGACATATGTTACCATTCAACCAACATGGCCTCCTTAGTATCTATCCCAGATGGACACAACACAGCAGTGAATGGTGAACCAGTGCTTTTAAGAACTCCTCATACCTTCAACCAGTGATCTCAACCTTCCTAATGCTGACATCCTTTGATACAGTTGTGGTATCCCCAACCGTAAAATTGTTTTCTTTTCTACATCTTAACCTAACAGTTTGCAATTGTTATGAATCATGGTGTAAATATCTTTGAATATGATTGTGTTAGGGCACCCCTGTGAGAAGGTCTTTTGACCCACAAACGATTCGTTACCCACAGGATGAGGACTGCTACCATAAACAAAAGTTCATACTAAGGAACACCCCTAGAATTTGAGGAATACTGAGAAGACTTTTTTATCATTCAGTCCTTGAATTCCGCATTGCGGAAGCCACACATGAGAGAGTGTCTGCGATTGTAGACTGTGCTCAGGAGTTTAGCTATTCTCATGCCTGTGTGCGCAACACCCTGGTAAAGGCCACTACAAATACTAAGACAATAGCAAGACTTTCACCTGACTTTCTTTTCAGAAGTATCCTCTGAGACTTCATACTAGCAAGAAAAGCTGTAAGCGCAAACAATGCAGACAAACCTCCAGTAATATTTCTATTCTTAATCAGTATGAAAGCCTAAAATCCAAATAATGAGGACATCCTTCAGTAATATTCGAATCTTCACGAACACGAAAGAATACTTATTGAGAAGCAGTAATGCAAATGCTGATGTATTATTTGCTTCTACTTTCAACTTCACACAGCCTTGCATTATGTGCTAATCTCAGTTTTGTAGATAACTTGATCTGATTGGCTCAGGGACATATCTGTGGGTCTTTTTGTTAGTGCTAATTGATGTAGAAGAATCTAGGCCAATGAATGATAGTGTACACCATACATGGGCTCCCTTGTCAAAGATGTCCTGGGTTATAATAATGTTGCCTGGGCTTGAGGCCTCCAGATTTCTGCTGTGTTTTGCTAGCCCGGCTTCCTGGGATGATGCTGGGCTGCCTGTGAACTGAAATGGCCCTCTTTCCCCCCTAATTATTTTTGGTCATGGCATTTATCACCACAATAGAAATTGAATGGGGTAAAGAACATTGCAATACTTAAGCGAGGTGGTGGTGGCGCATGCCTTTAATCCCTGCCCTTGGGAGGCAGAGGCAGGCGGATCTCTGTGAGATCGAGGTCAGCCCAGTCTACAAGAGCTAGTTCCAGGACAGGCACCAAAGCTACAGAGAAACCCTGTCTTGAAAAACCAACCAACCAAACAAAAGAATATTGCAAGACTTTACCATTTCTTATTACCTTAGTTGACATAGAAGGCTCCATACCGCAAATAATATCACAAGGTTTTGAAGTTTCTTCAACCATAACTCACACTCAAACTTCACTGAAAATAAAATGGTTGCAAAGAATATTACAAAGGCTTTATTTCTTTTTCCGCAATTTAACACCCCCCCCCCCAAAAAAAATCCTATCTTGGAAGTTAAGGCCTACCAGGCCTGAAGGAGCCAAGCTGCAGTCTGCCTGGTGTTGTCAGCGGTTCTGTTAATATAGAGCAACCAAGCAGTGTTCGCTGAGGACCTAGCAACAGGCGCTGTCCGAGGTCCTGATTGTGCCTAGCCAGTGAGAGATGAGCATGAACTGTCAAGTGTCAGTGGATCAGACCGCCTGATTGCTGGGAGAGTTTATAAGTTTTTCTTGTTATTAAATGAGTCTGCTGTAAGCCTACCTGACTCCCAGCGTCTGTCCCACCTTTTCACCACCTCCCCTAAGGAAAACCTTAGGGCTCAGCAATATCTGGCCCCCGGAACAGGGACTTCTAACAGGTTTTGAGCTCACCTGCTCAGAGTCCTTTTTTCATGGTAGCTGTAATTTTTGTATTTGCCTGGCACAGGGTCTTGTCATCTTCCTCTCCTCACTGGCAGTGCTGGCACAGCGCACCCAAATGATGTACTTTTGGTGAAAGACCCCTCGGTTCCTTCGGCGGGTAAGCATAGGGACCCCCATCCTTTCCTTCCTTGGAAAGGCCCATCAGTCCCTTTGGCAAGTAAGCATTGTGACCCACATTCCTTCCTTTTTGTTTATCTCCCCATCTGGTTAGGAAGGCATTTTTTTTTCTTGTTTCGGTTCACCACAACGGCTAACCCCTCAGGAGGCAGAACCAATTTGGCTTATCCAGAGATACCATGTGGGCACATGGCTGTGGCCTAAAGAACCAGAGAAGTTCCTCACTAATCACTAGACAGAGGGGTCCAATACAGTTTCCTACCTGTTTACTGTTGCCAGCTGTCCCTCTCAGAGGATTGCTGACAGGCAGGGTGTGGTGCGGAAGAATTGTCTGTATTCTGTCAATCATATTTTAAATAAACACTGATTGGCCAGGTTGGAAGTATAGGTGGGTCAACCAGATAGGAAGTAGAGGCGGAGCGATGAGCACAGAAGTATTCTAGGAAGCAGGAAGCTCCCTCCGCAGTCCTGCCCAGATGACTGAAGAAGCAACATGTGAGCTGCCATGCTGAGAAAGGTACTGAGCCGTGTGGCTAACATAGATAAAAATAATGAGCTAACATAAGTTATAAGAGCTAATACATTGCCTGAGCTAATGGGCCAATCACTTTATAATCTTATAGAGTCCTCTGTGTGATTTTCTTTGGGGGCTTGATGGCTGTGTTGTACCAGGTGGGACAGATAGCCCAACAAGCAGGCCCCTTCATGTTACAAGGGTGGGGTGACCTGTCCTCTGTGAGAGTGGCACATTGGCCTCAGCAGGGAGACGTTAGCTACTTGAAGGTTCGCCTGGAGGCCAGTGCTGGCCAGCCCTGAGGTGTGTAAGCTGTGACTGGTGTGAGCTTCCTGCTTGACTGAGGTCTCGGTGCTGGCTGAGCCTCGGGTGTCGGTGACAATCTGAGGTGTGGACTCAGAGGTAATAGACTTTGCCTAGCCTGGTGTGCAACGAAGCTATAGTCAAGGCTCTGGGCCCCTCTTTGACCTCCGCTGGACTCTGTACCTGTCATCTAAGCCTCCTGCTTCATCAGGTGATTCTGTCCTTCTAGGTGGTCCTGATAGGTCTGCTGCCCTGTGCAGCTGACACCGCAGACCTCGCAGTACTCTATGGAGGGCAGCTGGAGCCGGGTTGGGCTTCCGCAGCCCGGGCCTCGTGTTGGGCTTCCTCAGCCCTGGGCCACGTTGGGCTTCTGTGGCCTGTCCAGGAACCACAGCTTGTCACTGGTAAAACTGGGGTCCCAAGTCCCATGGCCTGGTCTGCCCCAGTTGTCCAATCCAAGCCCGCTAGAGCCTTTCAGGAGCCTGCTGCTTCTGAGGTATCTGAAGGAACTTCAGTGGGTGATCTGAGCTGTGGGAGCTTGGGTCTGTTCGGCAGAGAGAGGCTGAAGCTGGCTCCTGCAGTGTGTCCTCACAGCTCCTGGGACCTTTGACTCTCGACAGCTGGTAGGTGAATGCAGCAGTGGCCACAGCTTCATTGCTTCTGCTGTCCGTATGTGCCCTTCCCACCTGGGGCTGAACTTTAGTTGGGTGCTGCTGGAGACACGGCCTGAGGCCAGCTGCCTTTGTCATGTACTGGTGCTGTTAGAGGACACGGAGCCAGCTGTGCACCTGGGCATGCACATCTGCAGTCCGCCCACCTGGGTCCATTGTCCAGGCACTGAAAGGGTAGAATGGCTAAAGAAAGTGGAAAAGCACACGTGGCCCTTTATTTGCAATGTATAGAGAAGCTCTTTCCAGAAACCATAGAGCCAGCTGTGTGGGGGGCAAGTGCCCGCCTCAGCTCCTTCAGTTCACAAAAGTAACTGTGGGTCAGCAGCCCCTTACAGTCAAAGGTGTTAAGGTTTATACAAAAACCTTCAGATTAATTTTGCAGGAAATTGTGAGATTGATTTGGGGATCAAAAGGTACTTTTGTAGAGCAGGAGTGAGAAGTATTCAGATTCATGGGACAATGTGGTTGATCCTGGAGCCCTTATTGGTGACATGACTTCAGTTGGATCATTGTCCATCGTCTTCCTGAGGAAACCACTTTTAGGGATTAACTAGACAGGACTGACTTATCTTCTGGATGTCCCTGAACTGAATGATTTATCAGACACTATCATTTTGGATTCAATATCAAACTAATTGGCAATCATTTGCCAAAAAGCAAGATCTTAACAGGGCCCCCTGCACTTCAAATAAAGATACAGTTCCATGCAGTCCCCTCCTCCACTCTCAACCTTTCTGTCACCCTGACTTTTTCAGATTCCAATAAACACTCAAAGGATTTTGAGCCATGATTCCTGTCACATACTCTATTTCACTGCCTAAACACCTATATCTCTTTAATTCTCAGAAAAATTGGAGTCCCAATTCAATTAAAAATTAAAGATTGCTTTGGAGTTAAGAGTGTGACTCTCCTCTAAATCCAAGCATGTTGCTAGAAGAAAAATTTATAGTTTCTGTCTCACATCAGAAGAGCTACCTAGTATGGGACAGAAGAAAACCAAAAATCTAGGGACTATTGTTAAAACTCTGTTTTCTCCCCTTACTTATTTTTTGATTCTTTAGTACCTTTTTTTTCAGCTAAGGAACTTAAGTATATATTGACACACTGATAAGCAAAATAAATAGATTGATAGAAAATAGATAGATATATAGACGATACATAGACTATAGATAGATGCAAGGAAAATAGAATGATTAACAGATACATAGAAAGATAACAGATAGTAGATAGATTATAGACAGATGATAAATAGATGTGACATGTAAACTCAAAATAGTATTACATTTTAACATATTTATCTTATTTTTAATTATTCGTAAGTGTATGTGTGTCTGTGATTCTGCATGTATGGTCCGCCTATTTCTCTCAAAAATTCAGTGATTTTTCGGGGCTCCTAGAAGATTTCCCACATCTCTGGCATACCCTATAGTCTACAGGGAGACGCCATTGTGGAGAGGACCAACAGAGATCTTGAGGGACTGTTGGCCAGGACTATAACACCAGAGACTAGGAGAGATCCTCATCTGGCCTTAACAGAGGTCCTTTTCCATGTGAATTTCCTCAGTTTTGATGACAAGGGATTCCGCCCAGCTTATAAGCACTGGGCATCCCTGCCAAGGAACACATCCTAGCCCCTAGTAAGATGGAGTGATCCTATCTCCCTTCAGTGGCAACCGCCAGCCCCCTGCTAACTTGTGGGAGAGGGTATGCTTGTGTTTTTACTCAGCATGTCACAACGCCAATATGGGTTCTGGTAAGAGATGTACGTCCAGCCATGGATCAGCCTGCTTTCACCAAAGAGGGAATAACACAGGATGGGTAATGTATACACTCCCCTTTCTTGTTCTCATTGCCCCCTAACAACATGATTTATTAACGGCAGAGGTTATAGCCTTTGACTACTCATATATTTTTTTTTAAAAAAGGTTGGTATATTATAAAACAGCTATTGGATCCCTTCTGAATGTTCATATATGCATTAATTGGTGGGGTGGTTTTGTTAACCCTTATTCTCCTTAAGTGTCTCATATAGCAGATCTGACACCAGTAGACAGCACCTAAGGAAACTCTTCAGGTGTTAATGACTCTTGGGCATTCTTCTTGTAGTCCTCCACAGAAGTTTATACATATCTGGTTATTTGTAATTCAAAAGGCTATTATTACATTATTACCTATTACCCCCCCCCCCCTCACACACACCTTTGCAACTCTCCAGGAATGAATGCTCTTCAAGGGCTGTTACTCAAAGACAGGGAAGAGCTTCTTTGGTAGGTTAACCTAAGACAGGCACAGTCCAGTTGCTGAGCCCCCCTGAGGCAGGGTCAAGTCTTGAGCAGAGAACTCTGGCTTCTGCTGAGCACCCTATGTAATAAATAAAAAGGGTAGATATGTAGGAAGTTAAGGCCTACCAGTCCAAAAAGAGCCAATCTGGAGTCTGCCTTCAGCTGTCAAAGATCCTGTCTGTGCCTAGTCATTCGGGAGTGACCAAGAGGCGTTTCCTGAATGCCTAGCAACAGGCACTGTCAGAGGTCCTGATTGTGCCTAGCCAATGAGAGATGAGCATGAAACATCAAGTGTCAATGGATCAGAATGCCTGGGTGCTGGGGAGAGTATATGTTTTTCCTTGCTGTTAAATAAATGAGTCTGCTGTAAAGCTTCTACCTGACTTCCAGTGTCTGTGGTCATTGACGTCATACCTTTTCAGCCCCTCCCCCGATGAAGACATTAGGACCCAGCAATAATCATACTGTAAAGGAATCCTGTAAAACAAAAGAAACTCAATACTACCCACATGAAAAATGAGAAAATAGTATTTACCAGAAATTCCTGGAAATGCCAGTGGTAGGTTGATGTGAGATTTCCCTCTGTATGCTGTGATTACCATTAATGAATAAAGAAATTGCTTTAGATCTATAGCAGGGCAGAACTTAGGTAGGTGGAGAAGACAGAACTGAATGCTGGGAGAAAGAAGGATGGAGTTAGAGAGAAGCCATGTAGCCCCCAGCAGAGACAGATGCCAGAACTTTAGCTAGTAAGCCACAGCCACGTGGTGATACACAGATTAATAGAAACAGGTTAAATTAAGATATAAGAGTTAGACAATAAGAAGCTAGAGCTAATAGGCCAAGCAGTGATTTAAATAATATAGTTTCTGTGAGATTATTTTGAGGCTGAATGGCAGGGAACCAACAGACAGCATCCTTCCTACAGTAGGTAATTTGGAACACCTGCACATCAGGAGATTTTCTTTGCTGAGAAATCCTACAGATAAAATTAAATGTGTCATGCCTTTAATTGAAATTCCATTCTGACTATTAGTGAATTTATGTTATGTAAAAACCTACTCATGACTCGAGTGGTAATTTTGTTCAACATATTCACTTTATAACCTATTTCTTATAGCATGAAGCATTTACTGAAGGTGAAGAGTATTGTTGGAATTTTGATTACACTGTGTACCCTGAGATTGCCTTAATTACTGGAAAACCTGTTTTTAGTTGTCCTGTGGCTAAGCACTGCTCACACCTTTAATCTAAGTGCTTTCTTCTTGTAAACAGGATTAAATAAAGTCAGCTGTACATCAATAAGCGGTGCAGCCAACCAGGTCACAGGAAGTGAACATAGGGTTAAACCATAGAGAGTGAGAGGGAGTCAGGAAGACTGATAGAGAGATGCACAGGAAGTAGAAGGGAGGAACATTGAGTTTGAGGAGTCTAGTTTGATATGGCATAGGAGGAGAGGGATTGTTTTGCGTTATTGACTGAGGAGAAAGGTCAGCCGGGTGCTTTCTCTGCGTCTCTGAGCTAGAGAATACTTGTCGTTCAGGTGAAGCTGGAAGAGTTGAGGCACATATAAATGCTTTGGCGCCAACACCAGTGCAACAGAAGTCCTAGATGTCACAACAGGAGCTGTCAGCTTGTGATTATTAGAACATATATGCCAGTCAAAACGATTATACTAGCAAAGTTTTCAATTGCCATAAATGGAGAACACATGGTACTCTGACAAGGATTGCAGTGAGGGGACTAGCTTACGTTCAATTCATCTGTTGCCCAAGGGCCTTCTGTGAAAATCCCCAGAACAACCCAGGCTGATGCAAAATCAAAGGATTTCTAGCCACAAACTAACTGTGGGCCCCATTGCTGAGGACATTCACACACCTGACCAGATATGGAGAAGTTGAGCTGCTTCCTACATGGAGCAATCACCCTTCTGGTCTTGTCTCTTTGGAGGAGTAAAGTACTCTGTGGACTACTAAAAAAGAAATGAGGACACAAACTGAGAAGCAGATCCTCCAACCTACAACCTATCACACCTGAAAAATCAATGGTAGCTTAGAACCTGTGGGAATAGCCAACCAATGCCTAATTTGACTTAAAGGCCTATCCTATGAGTAGAAACCAGTATCCAACACTGCTTGTGTAACGAGGCATCAGAGACTAGACACATAAGAGACCTAGGGTAAAACTAAATACTACAGGTGTAAAAATCAATAAAATGTTTCCTAATGATATTCTGCTATACTCGTGGGTTAGTACCTTATCCAGGTATGTAAGAGATACTTCCAAAGTAGATGGGAATAGATCCAGAGATCCACAGCTAGACTTTTTGTGGAGAAAGAGTCAAAGTTGGAAGTCTCCATCAAGTACCTTGCCTCAGAGGTCAAGGAACCTGCAAAAGAAGAGGTGGAAATATTACAAGTCAGAATGGATGGAGAACAACATGAGACAATGGCCCTCTGAATCAACAAGACAGAGTGCATCTGAGCTCACAGAGACTGAAGTAGTAAGCACAGAGCCTCCATGGGTCTGCACCAGGCACTCTGTATGTGCTGGAGTGATTAGCTCAGTGTTTAAATGGGATTCCGGACAAGGAGTACAAGTGGGCCTCTGTTGTGCCTGCTCTTGCAGCTCTTTTACTGATGTTGGGTTGCCATGTCCAACTCCAGTATGGAAGTTTTTCCTTCAACTTAATTGTATTTTTCATGTTTGATATCTTAGATTGTCTCAGAATGAATCTGACAGCATTCTTTCTATTCTGGGTAAGTGTTTTTGAAGGGGAAAGGGTCTTGGTTCAATTTTGGTTCACTTTGGCATTGCTTAGCATGTTATCAAAATGTTTAAGAAAGATGCAAGGGATATTTTGTGCAAGGAAGAGATGGTTAATTTATTTAATGAACATAAACTGGACAATTAATCCTAAAATTGATAAATGAGAAAAAAAGGTTATTTTCCATTTTCTAGCAAAATCTAAAGTAACTACAGTGTTAACAATAAATATGCTAGCAATAACTACCTCAGATCTCTTAAAGGAGTGTCCTTAAAACACCTGCCCTCCATTGTCCAAAAACAACCCTAAAGCAAGGGGTGAGAAATTTGATATTCAGTCTAATCTTATATTTCCTCCATTCCTCGATGAGGATTCAGGAGAACCTGTGAAAATTCTAAATTTTGTAACATAAGCAATCTATTGTATGACAAGTAAATGGAATTGTTTTTGCCATTTCCTCCCTGGGCTCATGAGTTCCACTTCATAATGCCAATAAAATAAAATCTATTTAAATCTCTAGAGACGAGATGGCATTGGACAGGTCTCACATATTACAACAAGCAAAAACGAACTGCAGTTATCTGAATCCAAAGTTAAAAATAAAGCTCCTATATATTATCTGGATCCTTCACTACCATTAAACTTACTTTCCCCACTAAGTTGTCTGCTAAAAGTAGTATAGCACAAGAGACTAAACCTTTTAATTGGATTTATTTACACCATGAGAACCATAAAATACTAACAGCTTACTTAGTCTATTTGCTCAACTAATAAATCAGGGAAGAAGCCAGTGACAACAAATATATAGATTTGATGATCCTGGCTATACTTCATTACATTTAACTAAATCATTATCCGGCTTGTAAGACATGGAATTTTCTTATGTTAACTGACTTTGTGATTACAAATTGTCCAACTGTCCCCCACTCCACAAGCCGATATTTATTTTATTGATGGCTTATCTAAGAAAAGAGATTCATGGTCCACATATTCAACAATCTCATGTATTATGGTTAATTCATAAACCTCTGTAGTAAGGAGTTGCGGGCAGGTCTGCTTTTCATCCTGCCCGGCTCCCGCACAGCTAGCTTAGCCCCAGAAATAATAACACATAAGTTGTATTCATTTAAATACTGCCTGGCCCATTATCTCTACAGAGTTAGTTACTGGCTAACTCTCACATCTTGATTAACCCATTTCTAATAATCTGTATCACACCACGAGGTGTGGCTTACCGGGAAAGATTCAGCATGTCTAACCTGGTGGCTGGCTCCATGGCATCTGGCTCATAGCCCTCTTCCCAGCATTCTGTTCTGTTTACTCCGCCTACCTAATTTTCTGTCCTATCAAGGGGCCAAGGCAGTCTCTTTATTGACCAATGAAAATAACACAATAGACAGATAACCCTCCTCCATCAAACCTCAAATATCATTTTAGTATTTGCATGTGTTATAGCATTATTTCCAGTCATAGCCTCACACTTTTGGACAATTGACCACCCCCTCTAGCTTTATTGCAGTAGGAAATAAGGAAGGTAATGCATTAACACCCCTAGTTTGAGAAGAAAATTGGGAGTGGTATGCGTCTGTTATTGCAGCTGGTTCCAATGGAACATTTGGCCCCTCCAGCTCTGGGCCATCAAGGACAATGGCAGAGGGTGGTGACACAGTGGGAGTCAACAGAAGGGTTGAAGGGCAAAAGATATCAGCCATATCATCAAAAGTCACATCTGCCCTCCTGTGTCCACGTTAAAGCCCAATGCCCCAAGTGAGAAGTTATCCCATGAAACACACAGAGCTCCATTTACCTGAGAATCTTCTGGCAATGCTACCTTCTTTGATCTGTGTAGGTGGAGTTTTTGTTAGAATAGCAGATCAGCCCTATCCCACAAGTCAGCTCTGCAAATAGCCAAAATGAGACTTATTATTAATTATAAGTACACGGCTGACAATTTATGCTTCCTAATACCTAGATCTTCTGCTTCTTTATTACAATGTTAAAGCCTTTTGCACCTTTCCCTTGTGTTGTTTCTCAGTTTTCTCAATATTTGCTTCCATACTAAGGTTTTCACGTACTTCCACCGCTCTGTTTACCATGGTCTGCAGCTCATTTGTACTTTCAACAAGTAGTGCTGTATCATCAGTGAAACGTAAGTCATTGATTTACACACCAACTATCTGCATGCCTGTCTCCTAATCTTCTAGGGATTTTGCTACTATTAATTATTATTATTAATATAGTAAGGAGTAGTGGAGAGAGGACACATCTCTGCAGCACTCCTAACGCTACCTTATACTGATCACTGATTTCTCCACAGACTGTTTAATGCAGAGGTATCTTTATAGGCATTATCTACTATTCTTATGATTTTCTCTGGATGCCTTTAAAACCTCAATATTTCCCAAGGTCCTTTCCTTGAAAGGCTATTGAATGCCTTCGTGAAGACGATGTTACTGACATATAAGTCTTTTACAAATTCTTTGTATTTTTCTGTCGGTTGCCTCAAAGTGAAGATCAGATCTATTGTGTTCCCATTAGCTCTGAATCAACATTGGGTCTTTCCTAGGATTTTTTCTGCTCTGTTCTTGGTCCTTTGCAGGATAATGGAAGAGGAAA